GGGGGGGGTCTAAATACCTGTCACATAAAATTTATAGTACGAGTTGTAGCCTACACTTGCGAAATATTCCCATGACTTGTAAACTATATAATCTAAGCGCATCTTAATCTACCGTACCCTACAATAGGACACTGTCCCACAATGGATATATACACAGAGACGATCTTATTTTCTATTACAAAGTTATCATATGCTTTCACTGGTAGAGAACTGGATTTATTAGACTACTAATAAATCCAGTTCTCTACTTACATTTTTGTGACAAATTGATCCAGAGCATGATTGACCTTTGTAAATCTGTAAAGAATGCCACTTTTTTACCTGTAAATGTCTTTACAACTCAAAAGTATGATATATTAAGTCTTGACAGCATGACTAGATTCTGCATTAAAAACTGTACTATACTCAAGTTTCATTTACATACTCCAAGAAATAGGTGAGTTATGACAAATATTGTCTCAAAACTCATCAAAGAACGTCCCATATTTTGGGGGGTTTTCAAAAAAAGTGTACCAACAATTAATTGATTAAAAAACTCGTAACTTTTTTTGTTTATTTATGGATTTCAAAATTTCAAAAAAAAGTTCCATGTTCTGTGAAGATACAGCTACAAAATGCACATATTTGCAAACACTTTCTGGCAAAAAAATATTTTTTCGTGGTCATTGCTAAATTTTGCCAAAATGGCCTCCCCCTGAGCCGGGACGTCACCACTCAACTAGTGCCCTCTAATCTTATCCGCTTGTGTTGATGAGTCGGTTGTCAGTTTACCGACTAGATTCTAGACCTAGAGTCTGTCAACCGTCCACCATGTTAGACCCATGGTTCGGGAACACTTGACTTACTTAAAGCGCATTGTTCAGTGGCCTTCAACTTCAATTTTAAGTTTACAAAATAATTAGATCTAGAATCTAGATCTAAGACTATACTATAGACTAGAGATTTAGATGATGCTGACGCAACACACCTTGCTTGACATCAAATGACGCACACTTGTCTGAATTTGCTTTGGCAGTTTAGTTTTGGGAGAAGTTCCGCAGAGGGCCGGCACTTACCATGACAAGGTCCACTGAGCAAACTATACAAGGGTTAGGGTGTGTTGTTGACCGGCCGGCCCTCTGCGGAACCCCTTACTTAGTTTTAGTTTGGACACATGAAGCGGCAGCGAGCACCTAGCACACCTCGGTGATTGACCCCAAGATAATAGATCTAGATATAACGTATTTTTGTTGTCTTCCAGGGTATCCCCCATGACTCTTCGATTTCCCTTGCCAGTAACTATTGTTGACTAGATTTCACCATTAAATAAAAAAATTTTGGTATGAATTTGTAAATTTTTTTTTAAAGTCTCAGCAATTCTTATTCCATAAATTTACCTTCTTTTCAAAGTTGTACACACAAACGCACGCACACACACAGCCCAAACAGTCAGCGATGAAACCTAGTGACATAGCCGATCACGGGCAAAGCGAGCCAGCCACGGTTAGATCTAGTAAACTGGCGAGGGAAGCCTCCGAAGGCGACAAAAATAGATGGCGGTAATATCATTTAATATGTCATCTATATTTGGGCCAGTCACTGTGCTTCATGTGTGTTTTCTTGGATTTGAAGAAGACATTTTTCAATTTTGAAACCATATAGCACTGAGTGACTTAACTTACTACAGCCGTAGCCTGACATAATAGTAGATCTAGGCCTACAACAGGCTTGACAGGGGACAAAGAATTAGTTTCTAGTTAAGTCTTTGACTTAACTGAGACGATCATCACTTCATTCACAAAAAGGCATATCATAGAGCCAATGTAATGTTTTGGCTGTCTTCAGCCAAGTTATTTTGATTTTGTTGATTGATGAGAGCTTTGATACACATTTTGTATTTTGGGTATGTACCATATTTTGTAATTTCTGGGAAAATGGTAGGGCTTGAGAATTAAAATTACCCAAAATCTTCCTAATGTTCACTTCTTTTTCACATTTGCTGAATTCAAGTCCTATTGACTGTGGTACCCTAACCTTATTAGATGTAGTACCGAATCCAGAAAGTGAATTATTTTATTGTTGTAAATAAAATGTGCAGATGTGGAAGGTTCGTGTAAGCTTTTTTATACCTGACCACTAACTTATATTTAAGTGAAAGCCATTTTGATGTTTCTTAAACTAGACCTATATTATATTAAATCCAATTTAGTCTCTGTTTAACGTGTTGCAAGACTTAATTTTGTGTTTGCTTAAGATTTGCTTATTTTCTGTACTTTTCAGTATTTTCCCCAAGAGGACGTGGCGGCGGAAGAGGTGGATTTGGTGATCGTGGTGGGGGAAGAGGTGGATTCGGTGACCGTGGAGGATTCGGTGACCGTGGAGGGCGCGGTGGGTTTGGCGGGAGAGGTGGTGGCCGTGGCAGAGGTGGATTTGGTGATCGAGGTGGTGGCCGTGGCAGAGGTGGATTTGGTGATCGAGGCCGCGGTGGTGGCAGAGGTAAGTTTCTAGTTTTTGTTGAATACATACTGTCGAACTTACTTGACTAAGAGGACCGCCTATTGTAATTTGTTGTGGGAACTGATTTCGTTTGATAGTCCACTTGAATAGTGTTATCTATATTATATATGCATGTATTATATTTATGAAAGTTCGTCACTTTGGTCACCTAAAATTTTTGAACCACTTAACTTTGGAATTTGAAGGGAAAAAAATTTGATTCAGAATCATTTAAAGGGTGCACGGTTGTGTTAAAAAGTCTGAAGTCACTGTAGCCAACCACTTCATGACCAAAAGGAGTTATCCTCCAAGAGTCTCTAGAAACTGAGCAGATTAAGATTACATCAATTGACCATGGCAAATAAACAGCGTCACAAGATGGCAGAAAAGCTCAAAATACACAAGATCACATCAGTTGAAGTGAATCAAAGTGCCACAGATGTCTGTTGTAAATCAGTGCTTGTTTCATCTGGTGAATCTCACTGTTTGTTTGCCCATGGCCCAATTCTCGCTGTGTTGATGAAGTGATCAAGTCTTGTGAGATTTTGAAATTTCAGTCATAAGTTCTGGATCCTAGGAGGAGAACAAACTCACAGGGAGCATGGGAGTGTTAATTTTAGTTTAGTTTATGCGATTCACATACGACCTGATGGAATCAGAATTGAAGGCGGGTGTGAGTTTTAGGCAAATTCGACGAGGTGCGAGACAAAAAAGGGAAAACTTTGATTTTTTATGATTGCTTGGCAGGTCTGCTGTTGTTTACAGCTGTCATCGTGTGATTTTAAGTTGGGACACAGACAGTGTTGAGTTATAGTAATTGCAAACTCAAGACTTGTGACTGAATGCCTTTTATTGTTGTGCTCTTCCTTTGCTGGAATAGAACAATTAATATCTTCTCTTTTTTGCTTCCAGGACGTGGTGGCGGCGGCGGCCGTGGAGGTAAGTTTCTCATTGTGTCATTGTGACCATGTTATTTTTGTGTATTTGGGGAGGTAGGTTGATGACAGGATCCGTGTAAACGTTATATATCTTTTATGTGTGTGTTTTAGCTGTTTCATAAAGTGGAAACCTTGAAGTCTTCAGGGATGCTCATCATACTGTAATATGTTTAAGACAAAAGTTGTCTTTTTAGTTTTAAAGAATTTTACTGTTAAAAGGGGTACACTGAGTTATATTGGATGTTGTTTCGTCCCTTCTTGTAAGATTTTGAGATTTGGGATCATTTTGGAATCTGCCGCCTCAGAAGCTTCTTTTTATCCCTGAAATGTGGGGGGTGGGGAGATGTCAGGCGCCCAACAAGTTTATCCTTCGTTCGGATAGCATGTACTTGGCAGTCCTTATGGAAGTTTTTTAAATTGTCTTTAACATCGTAAATATCTCTGTTTAGAAAATGCTGTTGTTTGTCCATTCTTTCTCTCTAAATTCATTTCCTCTTGAATTTCAGGCCGTGGAGGTATGAGGGGTGGGGCAAAAGTTGCAGTGGAGCCTCACAGATATGAAGGTATGCATCCTGTGTTTGGATTTTTTAATGTGTTGTGTTGGGGCTTTGGGGGGGGGGGGGGGGTTAATGGGGTTTGAACTGAAGATGGGTTGGACTTTTGTTTAGCTAATTTGAGATCTTTCCTGTTGCTGGTGGTGTTTTGGCTCTTTTTGTGGAGAGAGTGATTGGTGGACACTACCGTCTGGTCTGCTCTTAGTTTTTATTTTCAGTGTTGTTGATCACCTAATGTTTCTGTTCCTGGAAAAGTGTAGCCATGTGATATTAAGTGCCATAAGCTACAATTCTTATGCATTTTATAACTTTTGAGGAATGCATTTAGACAAAAACAGATCCTGACCAGGGATGCTGTATTTGCATTATTTTGTCTAGGAGATCAGATATTATTGTAAGCATTTGTTTTCTGTTTATTTCTATATATATTAGTTGTGTGTAATTACTGTCTTTTTGTTTCCCACTGGCATCCCAACTCGCAGTCAAAAAGACCCTGAATGATCCATACGAGGTCATGATGGAACAGTGACGAATAATAGATAGTGGTGAAATACCTAACATTGGGATAAGACCTTGGCTTTGAAATAGCTACAAGTTAGACCTGCTTTCTTGCCGACAATCACGACACGGCTATGCTATCACTATGCCCATCTGTATTAGTCAATGTGCGAGGCCTGGTCAGTTGCCTGCACCCCCTGTTTCTACGGTCGGCTTTGTCTGCACTTTCGTTTTCCTGCTGACGTCGGCCTTTCCTGGGTAGAAGTACGAATACGAAAAGGACGGCGACCTAAATTAGATCTACTTTCAGTTTTGTGCTCGAGCGGCCATTTTGAATTTCATCTGTTGACCGATTGTTCGGGTGTGGATTCATTCAAGGCCTACTCACTTGTGTTCTACTGGATCTAGATTCTAGATCTAGCTTTATAATAATCATTATAGACCTATGGAGGATTCATTTTCCAATTGTATTGTGTCAAACCATATTATAGGTTATGCTGTAATGTTAATGTTGGTAAAAGAGCATTTTATAAGGTGCGTAAATTTTTAGACTCAGCTGAGCCCCTCTGTTCGGATGCGGATTTCGTTCAAAGCCTATTCCTATTCACTTGTTCTACTATTCTAGATCTAGATTTATTTAGATAACTATATGGCGGATTCATATTCTAATTCTATTGTTATTGTATCAAACCCTATAATAGCAATGTAGGCCATTATGCTCCTTGTTTGTTTTTGGGGGGGGGGGGGGGGGGGGGTATTTGTTTTTTGAATACGCACAACTGGCTAGACCTAAACAATTGGATAAAAATAATTTGGGTCATATTTTATTTTGTCACCGGAAATAGAAACCTGGCTAAAAATAATAGTAGAGACAGGAAGTCGGAAGTCTTCAAATCGAAACACACGTGCGATTGCCTGGCTTGGGTCGTCGGTCGAAAACAAAACACGAGACTGAAAAGAAGTTAAAGTTTGCAACAGCATGGCTCCCCCTGGTATGTATAATTTGTATATATTTTAAATGTGAAATTGGGTACTACTGAGGTGTGGGCGATATGTGGTTCTAGAGTCTTCATGAAAGAGGAATTGTTTTTTATCTCGACGTCAAAAATTGCCATTCTTTCTCAGTCAGTTCAAATACCGGTCCGAGTATGAGTCGAGTGTAGAAATCTACTGTGTACCCCTTGTTTGTGAGAAGTTTCCATGCAAAGCACTCCACACTCTAGATCTAGATCTAGATCTAGGTCTATTTAAAACAAGGTCGTGCAGGCTAGATTTCTACTCTGAGGCCCCTACTCTAGCTTAGTAACTGACTCAATCACTGAAGCAGCAAGTTGGGCACGGACAAGGCAGTCTCACTCTCAGCTCATGGCCATGACAATGTCACAATGAGTGACAATGCCATGAGTTTCATTTCGTTGTGAAATTTCATGTGTGGTTGAATGAAAAAGCGGATAATTAGAGAATGTCAGATGGAGGTCATTGGCCAATATTTATTGAAGAGGCTAGCC